TGCAGTGAATGGGTGCCGTCAGAATGAGAGTCCAAACAGCTGATAAAAACATCACAATAATCCACAAGTAATCCAGTCCATCAGTTAACAATTCAGACAATGTCTGAATCAGGAGAGAAATATGCACAGATCAAGCACGGTTTACAAGCAAAAATAGTTCAAAACCGTTCTAAACAAATATGTTTTTGATGTGAGAGACAACAGGAGATAGACTTTTTCCACTGGAGGAAGTGTTATTATGAATTATGGACCAATAAAACCTTAATGACGTATTTGTTTCTTACAAACATGCAGATTTTTGCTCACAAGACATTAACTGATGGGCTGGAGTGGTGTGGATTACTTGTGGATTATTGTGATGTTTTTATCAGCTGTTTGGACTCTCATTCTGACGGCACCCACTCACTGCAGAGCATCCATTGGTGAGCAAGTGATGTGATGCTAAATTTCTCCAAATCTGTTCTGATGAAGAAACAAACTCATCTACATCCTGGATGGCCTGAGGGTACATTTTCAGCAAATGTTCATTTTTGGGTGAGATATTCCTTTAAAATAAGCTAAAACATCAAAAGTTGTGCACCATATTAATCATACTGTGATATGATATGAAGTAAATATATTCACACAACAAACCGTTTTTGTTTGTTTTGTTACAGCAAGTGTTTATTTGATGTACCTTTGTCACATTAAATTAACAGTTTATAAATAATTATTTAATGCACTTTTAATGCATTTTCCCCTGAGTGAAGGGACTGGGTTTGGATGACAAGCATCTGCTAAAATGCACGTTTTTTTTTTTTTTTTTTAAAAAGGCATTAAAGCACATTGTTTACAGAGGTTTATTATATTGATCAGCACTGTGCATGTACTGTATGTGATCAATGCTTAGGTTCAGTTAAAATAGAACAAAAATTGCTTTTTAAAAACAATTAGAAACTGTTAAGACTTATTAAAATTAAAAGTCTATTTGAAAATATCCAAGGCCACCTTTTGTATATGTATTTTCTCCAAAAGTTTTTACATTTCTTTTGAAATATTTATAATATAAAATATAACATTTCAATCTATTTACATTGGATTATTTTAAAATAATAACATATCATTTGCAGTCCAAAACTGGATAAACAGTAATCAGCATTTTATGTGCTATTAAGGAAATTGAGCTGAAATCAACCCCGCTGAGAGTGATCAGAGTAAATTTAACACATATAGACATCATAAACCGGAACTCATATGTGGTAAATGTTTTTATGATCGCATCCCTCCCAGTCGATGAGCTCTGAGCGATGAAACCACAGTGAAATCTCCCGCTCTGCTCCCTCCACAGAATCAGACGCATGGACGACATTTCTGAATGAATTTAACAGTGATGAAAGTCATTTCATCCATGCGACTCGTATACATGCCAAAGGTTTATTGCTTAATTTATATGCAACTTCAAACTGAGAGGCTGATATTGTGTTTGACTGTGTGTGTGGCTGTGTTTGGAATAATAGTGTGCACTATATAGTGTGCAGTATGCAGTACACTAATATTGCACTCAGAATAATGAGTGTATGTAAATACCTGCTGATGTGAACACTGAAATCTCCTCTAATAGTTCCCGGTGCGGCTTCAGCAGGGTCTGTGCTTCCCACCAGCATACGTGATGACCTCACTACATTATGCCCCTCCCACACCTGAAAACAAACCAATGAGGAATGTGAATTTCAACTCCGTCAATCTTCATGACAGTACGTGACGTGTAAAAATCTCATAGTACGCAATGCTACACATTTCACACAGTAATATGAAACCTTTTTCTTTATTTTATTGCATGTTTAAAAACATTTTGCATTTCTAATCCAATATTTGACTAGAAATTATTTTTGGATGTTTATTTATCAATGTAAATTGAAGTGCACTGCATTGTGGGATACTTAATTCTACTCTGTCAAATGCAGTGTTATCTGGGTTTTGCGCTCTTGTGGATAATTTGCATTCTGCAGAAACAGTATAAGTATTATAGTAGTATGATGTTCATAACATGTGGTGTAACATAAAGCATAGCTGTTTGACTGGCCCTCACCATGGCAACTATGGGGCCAGAGGTCATGTAGTAAAGCAGGCTGGAGTAAAAGGGTTTCCTCTGCAGCGAGACGTAATGCTGAGCTAAAAGCTTGTCAGAAGCCTGAAAAATACAGTGCATGCACATTATGTAGAAACACATCACATACAGTCATGAATGATATCTGAGTGAATCACTCACCTGCAGCATCTTCAGACCCACCAATCGGAATCCTCGCTGCTCAAAGCGCTTGATGACCTCACCGATCAGCCTTCTCTGAACGCCATCGGGCTTCACTGCTACCAAAGTCCGTTCTTTAATGCCAGAAAAATCTACAGCAGGTCAAAAACAGATCAATATATGTGAGTTTTCATGCACCTACAAACTATTTTTTATTTTTTTTTGGTTGGTTGGTTGGTGATACATTTGAAACTGTGCGACCTACTGCCAAGTGTGAAACATACCAAATTATTGTTATTAAAATTATGCACTTCTTTTGGGATGTTAGGATTTAAGATCTCATTTAGATTTTATTTACATTAAAAATTCACAGTTTCACCATAATTTGTATAAGCAAATTTGAGAAATTTAAAATTCCCAACATCTTTCCTATTTATTTATTTATTTTACTTGTTTAAAGGAAGTGCGATTAATTGGATATCTTACAAATTTGAAAATGTTCTTACGAAAAAGTGTGTGTCCCATGTAAGTAAATAAGTGATGTGATCTCGTCCTGCTGAGATCTTTATTCTTTAGCTTAGAAAGTGAAGAAACTTTATACACAAAAAGTTTCCTGTCATTATCATTGTTATTGTCTCTCGATATTGGTCATTTAGCAACATTTTTTAATATTAATTGCAGAAACCGTGTGATATTTCATCTAATATCACTAGGCAAATGCAGATCAATGGCGTGTTCCATGACCATCTCTTATGACAGTCTGAATTTAAAAGAAAAGTTCCTGTAAGCGTGACACACGTGGTCGCTTACAGTCGTTCCTTGAAGCTTGATCAAATTAAAGTCGTTACACACTCGTGCTCTGGATTTGAACTCCACATGCTGCTAATATGCATTCAGTACAGCACTATGATTGGCCTTCAAACAGATATAAACTGTGAACAGGAGGGGGTTTGAGGTCAATAGAGTTATTAGTTAGGCTTCTAAACAAAGAAAATAACGGCCCCTTAAAATAACTGCCATACTGCATAGCAGTACCATGTATACAGTGGTAATACTATGATACTTTTTTATGTACTAATTGAAGTGGAAAAAATGGTATCAGTGCAAAATACTGGTCCATTTTGGTTTATCGGGTTTGAGATGGGAGTAATTTTATGCTCATTATGGTGAACATGCTTGTGTAGCTTGTTTCTGTTTTGGCATGTGATGCAGAAATCCACTGTAATTTTGACCCGTGCAACTCAATCTATTAAGCAAGACAATAACTTGCACAAGCTCCCGTCTAACCTAATGCAGTCAGCACTCGCACACGTGAACACAATTAACCAATCACTGTGTGTGTGTGTGTGTGTGTGTGTGTGTGCGCGCGCGCATGTTTATGTGGTTTATGAGGACACAAATGTGTATAATGACATGGGTATGACATAGGTATTACAATATGAAGGTGTTTTATGAGTCCTGTGTCCCTTAAAAAGGCTTAAAAAAATACTAAATGGTGTTTTTTTTTTTTATCTAAAAATGCAGAAAGTTTTCTGTGAGGGATAGGTTTAGGTGTAGGGTGATAGAATATGTTTGTACAGTATAAAAACCATTATGCCTATGGAGAGTGCCCGTAAAGCACATATACCAACGTGTGTGTGTGTGTGTGTGTGTGTGTGTGTGTGTGTGTGTGTGTGTGATTGTATAAGCAGTACTCTAGCATTTCTATGGTAATGACATCAAATGAAAAATTACGGTCCTTAAATTCATTTACCATGGTATTTACTAGCAGGGTACAAAAATCCAAAAATCATTGTAGTCCCATGGAACATAATTTAACTAATTGTTAAGTGTAGCATTTCTATTGTAGCTAACAAAAATATGTTTCAGGAGCATTTTTATAACGTTCCCATGAAGTTATGAAATCAATATTTCTAAATGTTCTCTGAATGTTCAAAACGTCCTTTTATATATATTTTTAAAAACAAAAAACAAAACGTTTTCTTAATTATGTGAACGTTAAGGGGATGTTCAATTTGATCATTTTGCAAAGATTATGGGAGATTTACTTTTGAATGTTCTCTGAACATTCCGAAACAAGTAGTAGGCCTAACATTTAAAAAATGCCAGACAAACATCCAACTAGTGTTGTCAAAAGACCCGGTATTTCGGTACCAAGTCAGTACTAAAAAAATGAAAACGTTACGGTACCAGGTTTTCTTAAGTACCGGTTCTTGATTCGCTATCAGAAAGCTATCCTCTTCCAGTGTTGCCAAGTCCGTGGTTTTCCCGCGGAATTGGGCTGCTTTAACACTGTTGCCGCGGGTTGTTTTTCATGTACGCGGGTTGTGGTACCGAGAACCGTGGATTTTCACTGGTATCGGTACCGAATACTGAAATTTTGGTACCGTGACAACACTACATCCAACTAAAACTTTTAGGAACAAAAAAAAAACATTCCATGAATGATGTATTTTATGCTCACGTTTTGAGAGCATAAAGACCAGATAACTTTGAGCAAACATTCTGTTAATGTAACTGGAAGAACGTTTGTTTCTAACTTTGAGACAACCTTGTCAGAACATTAGCCAAGAATCTGAAAACGTTCCCTGTTAGCTACCCTTACGAAAAATAAGTTTATTCAAGTGTGCTATTAGTATACTTCTTTTACTTGCAGTATAAAACTACTAAACTAGTAGTTTACTGAGACTATACTTCAAAGTGTACTAAAAATGCTACTACAAGTATTTAATTAGTAAACTATCAGTATACCTATAAGTTCACTTTTAGTATAGTTGCAGTACAAGCTAAACATTTTGATGTAAACTAGTTGTGTACTCAAAGTTTACTACTGTTATACTTAAAGTATACTTTTATATACTAGAAAGTGGGCCAATTTAGTCCCAGGGAGTATTGAACTAGTACACTTACAAGTATACTACGAGCACACTGATATTTGTATACTTACTACATAAAGTATACTTAAAAATATACTTGAACTTTACTTAAGTATACTTGCTAAAATAAACTTGAAGTATACTACTTTTTGGTAAGGGTAGGACTGTACACATCCATAAATATCCCCGCGAACTAAAATATGTTCTAAGAACGTTTTGGTAATGTTCCCAAAAAGTTATAAAAAATGTTATTTGAGTATTCTCTGAATGTTCAAAACGTAAAAAAAAATGCAAATGTTTAAAAAATGTTTTTCCTGGTTATGTGAACGTTAGAGACAATATTACAGACAATAATGTTCAATTTTATTGTTTTGTAAACACTATGGTAATGTTACTTTTGAATGTTCTCTGAACTTATAAGTAGGCTAGTAACATAAAAAAAAAACGTTATAGGCTACAAACGTCCCAACAAAAACGTTCCGTAAATAATGACGTTTTGAGAACGATAGGCTACTAAAGACAAGATAACATTGAACGAACGTTCTATTAACGTTACTGGAAGAAAGTTTGTTCACAACTTTGAGAGAACTTTGTCAGAACGTCAGCCAAATCTCTAGCTGGGACGGTATTTCCCATGGTAGGTAAAGTCGAAGAACATGATATTGTATATATTACGACTAAAAACACATCTGTTCCACCTTTATTTGACCCTCTAACTCTAGCACTTTCTATTCTATTTTAATTCTACTTTATCTATATTTATCTTCTTTTTTGTTTTATTTTTTATTTAAAAAAACAACAACAAAAAACTAACAAACACTAGCTTGCTATTTTTTCTATTCTACCTACTTGTTTTTCTTTGTGTGTGTGTGTGTGTGTGTGTGTGTGTATAATATATGTGTGTATATGTGTATATATGTATATGTGTATATATATATATATATATATATATATGTATATGTGTATATGTATGTGTATATGTGTATATGTATGTGTATATGTGTATATGTATGTATGTGTATATGTGTATATATGTATGTGTGTGTATATGTATGTATGTGTATATGTGTATATGTATGTATGTATGTATGTATGTGTATATGTGTATATGTATGTATGTATGTGTATATGTGTATATGTATGTATGTGTATATGTGTATGTGTATATGTATATGTATATGTATATGTATGTATATGTATGTATATGTATCTATGTGT